CTCATGATTCTGAACTGAGCAAATAAACTCATTGCAACCTGATGCTTACTCATATTCATGGAGAACTGCTTAAGGACTCATTCACTTAAAAATTCAATAAACTATTCTCTACATGCCAGATGCTATTCTATCTGCTGGGGATAAACAGTGAACAAAATACACATAGTACCCACAGTATAAGCATCATTCTTTACCTCTAAATCAAGCCAAACCATCAGAGAGCCATATACCAAAATCACATTGCTTTGGCCCTGTCAAGACTGTTCACTGGCAATAACTCAACTTGGATTGAGAAATATAAGAGCAATCTGTATTTATTTATTTGAGACGGAGTCTCGCTCTGTTGCCCAGTGCAGTGGCACAATCTCGGTTTACTACAACCTCCAGCTCCCGGGTTCAAGCAATTCTCCAGCCTCAATCTCCCAAGTAGCTGGGATTACAGGCATGTGCCACCATGCCTCGCTAATTTTTGTATTTTTAGTAGAGAGGAGGTTTCATTATGTTAGCCAGGCTGGTCTCAAACTTCTGACCTCACGTGATCCATCTGCCTCAGACTCCCAAAGTGCTGGGATTACAGACATGAGCCACTGTGCCTGGACAAGAAGCAATCTTTGAAAACTCACAACACATGTTTGATTTTAGAGATACCATGAATCTGAAAATGGAACTTTATTTTCTTCTTCACTTTACTGCCGAAAACTCAAAAGCCAGACACCAAAGCAACCATTAGCAATAATGCAGGACTTTCTGGTCTATGCACTAATTTTGCCACTGGCTTTATTCTGCTTCTTTCATTTCTTCTTGGCCTTTATTTTTAATCCATTCATTTTGAAAAGACATGGGAAATAAAAGATATTTGATGTGTGCTTTTTAACCTAAAACGTATTGTGTACTTTCTATTGCCAGGCACTATTCTAAGCACTTTACAACTTTAAGGAGGTCACACTATTATTTTTATTTTATTTTTTTGAGACGGAGTTTTGCTCGTTGCCCAGGCTGGAGTGCAATGGCATGATCTCAGCTCACTGCAACCTCCACCTCCTGGGTTCAAGCAATTCTCTTGCCTCAGCCTCCCGAGCAGCTGGGATTATAGGCATGCACCACTACACCTGGCTAATTTTGTATTTTTAGTAGAGACAGGGTTTCTCCATGTTGGTCAGCCTGATCTCTAACTCCCCACCTCAGGTTATCCACCCACCTAGGCCTCCCAAAGTGCTGAGATAACAGGCGTGAGCCACCACGTCCAGCCGGACTATTATTTCTACTATACGGATGAGGAAACTGAGGCAGAGACAGGCTTATTAACTTACACATGATCTTACAAACCACATCTGACAGAGCTGAATTCAAATTCAGCCCAGACCATTTCATATAAGTGTACGTACAGGCCACCATGGGACCCAATAACGTGGCGCAGAGGGAGGGTGGAGGGAAGCCCTCACTGAGAAGTCTTAAAGGAAAGGGCTTGTCAAGGAGCAAGGAGAAATATTCCAGAGAGAAAAGGAAATCACGTACAAAAACCTAGAGCAGGCCAGATACAATGGCTCATGCCTGTAATCCCAACACTTTGGGAGTCTGAAGCAGATGGACTGCTTGAGCCCAAGAGTTCAAGACCAGCCTGGCCAACATGGTAAAACCCCACCTCTACAAAATATACAACAATTAGCTGGGCATAGTGATGCACGTCTGTAGTTCCAGCTACTTGTGAGGCTGAAGTGGGAAGATCACCTGAGCCTGAGAAGTCAAGGCTGCAGGGAGCCATGATCATACCACTGTGCTCCAGCCTAGACTCGAGTGAAACCGTGTCTCAAAAAAAAATCCAAAAACAAAAACAAAAACCAAAGCAAAGATGGAACATAAGTTCTGGGAATGGCAAATGGAGCACAGAGTTACATTCAGCAATTACTTCATCTTAAAGGTTCACCAGAAAGTTAAATCATTTAAAAGTAGACATTTAATAGTTCCATCACTGAAAATTTATATAGCCAAAGTATTCACCGGGGCTGGGAAAGTATAAAGGAGTAAAATAAAGGCAACCTTTTTATATGATTAGGTTAAAAGTCTGAATGATGTTGAATAAGTAATGAGGAACCTCAGAAGGATCCTAAACAAGAGAATTACAAGATCGACTTGTACAATATGGGGAAGGAATACTGAAGAGCCTGGCAGTGAGGTAATGAGAGTTAAACCAGAGCTACTCAAAAGAAATACAATGCAAAGAAATACAATGCAAGTTAAATGTATATAACTTTTGATTTTCTAGTAGCCACATTAGAAAAAGTAAAAAGAAAGGCTGGGTATGGTGTCTCACGCCCGTAATCCTACCACTTCGGGATGCCAAAGGTGGCGCATCACTTGAGCATAGGGGATTGAGACCAGCCTGAGCAACACAGTGAGACCTTGTCTCTTACAAAAAAAAATTATGTCTCTTACACATAATAAAATTAGCCTGACATGGTGTACATCTGTAGGCCCAGATACTTGGGAGGCTGAGGGAGAAGGACTGCTTGAGCCAGCCAGGACATGGCTGCAGTAAGCTGTGATTGCACCACTGCATTCCAGCCTGGACAACAGAGCCAGGCCCTGTCTCAGAAGGAAAAATAAACAGTGAAAAGCAATAAATGAAGGCCGGGTCCGGTGGCTCACACCTGTAATCCCAGCACTTTGGGAGGCCTAGGCAGGCAGATCACTTGAAGCCAGGAGTTCAAGACCAGCCTGGCCAACATGATGAAACCCCGCCTCTATTAAAAACACAAAAATTAGCCAGACATGATAGCTGGCACCTGTAATCCCAGCTACTTGGGAGGCTGAGGCAAGAGAATTGCTTGAACCCAGGAGGCAGAGATTGCAGTGAGTCGAGATCATGCCACTGCACTCCCGCCTGGGCAACAAAGTAAGACTTTGTCTCAAAAAGAAAAGAAATAAGTGAAAATAATTTTAATAATAATTTTATTTACCACCAGGCATGGCAGCTCACACTTGTAATTCTAGCACTTTGGGAGGCCAAGGTGATAGGCTTGTTTGAGCCCAGGAGTTTGAGACCAGCCTGGGCAACATGGCCAAACCCTGACTCTACAAAACAAAAAAAGAGCTGGGTGAGGTGTCAGGCGCCTGTAGTCAGAGGCTGAGCTGGCTGGGTGGCTTGAGCCCAGAAGGTGGAAGTTACAGTACGCTGAGATTGCACCACTGCACTACAGCCTGGGTGACAGAGCCAGACCCTGTCTCGAAAAAAAAAAGAAAAAAATATTATTTAATCCAATATACCTAAAGTATTATTTCACTATGTCATCAATTTTATTCAATTTTTGTACTAACTTGAAATCGAGCGTGTATTTTATACTTATTTCAGACACCAAATTCTCACTGGAAACTTATATTTAGATTTCATAAAATGACAGATGAAAAATACAGATTCACATACCCAAGTTGTTCAAAACATACTTGAACATTTTCCAATAGGTGATCAAATAGCAGTTTGTCAAGTTAATTTAATAATTAAATAAAATTTGAAATGTAGCTCCTCAGTCATGCTAGATGCATTTTGAGTGCTCAAGCTGCATATGGCTACTGGATTGGACAGTACAGGCCTAAAATGTGAAAAAGGAACTCTTCGCACTTCCACCAACAGCATTTCGTATCTATTTACTGTTGAGGTTTCCTGTGTATAAACATCAATAACTTGCCAGATATTAACTATGAAAGTAGTCCTACTGTCACATAACTACAGTAGCTTACATTCGCTAGGCCAATGCCAACATCTGTGAAAAAGGAATCATCTAATGACTACACAGAATTGCTATGTAGTACCTCTCACAAGGAATGCAGTTAAAAATGTTTGTGTGATAAATACATATTTTCTTCATTACTCAAAGAGCAATTCACTTGTTTGTGGATTACTTAAACTCTTTGTTTCTATTTTTCTAAGGTTCAACCATTTGAGTTAACTATACACTGTGTCCAACGAAAAGATAAAGCAGTAAGAAAACCTACGTTCAACTGTCTATCAGCAGCATTATGGTAAAACAGTTAAGAGCTTAAGCTCTGCAGTCAGACTGTCTGGATTCAAATCCTGATTCTATCTTTTACTAGATGCATTATTTTGGGTAAATATTTGGCCTCTCTGTGCCACAGTTCCCTCTTCTGTAAAATAGTGACAATACTACATATTCTCTCAGGTTGCTTTGAGGATTCCAGGAGAAAATACACAGAGCATTTGCACACAGTACTTGACACACAGTATATGCTTAATAAAATTAGTTTCTTTTATTTTTTGAGGTAGGGTCTTGGGTGTGTTGCCCACATTGGAGTAATGGCATGATCACCGCTCACTGCATGACTGCAGCCTTGACTTCCTGGGCTCAAGCGATCTTCCCAGCTCAGCTTTCTGAGAAGCTGACTACAGGTCCACAACACCTGCTCAGCTAGTTGGTTTTGTTTTTTTTTTATATATAATTTTTTGTTTTTGTGGGTACATAGTAGGTATATATTTATGGGACCGGTTAGTTTTTAAATTTTTTGTAGAAACAGGGCCTTGCTCTGTTGCCCAGACTGGTCTTGAACTCTCAGTCTCAAATGATCCTCCTGCCTCAGCTTCCCAAAGTGCTGGGATTGAAGGAATGAGCCACCCCAGCCAGCGTTAGCTTTATAAACAGAGATGCTGGAGAAACTGAAATTATGGCTACGGTAAAAAAAAAAAAAAAAAAAAAAAAGTCATGCTGAGATCCTTACACAACATCATGAAGTAAAAAAGTAGGATTTCTCAATTATCCATGCCTCCCACATTATCTTGCAAACCCCAAAAAAAAAAAAAAAAAAAAAATCAACGGTAGAGGTGGTAATTTGAAGTCCTCAAAAGAAAAATCATGCATGTGGTTATAGTCATTTAAAAAGGGGATAAATAAGAAACTTCATCTACTGACAGGGTACAAGTATGCAGTACGGCACAGGTGCAGCCAAGCAAAAAGAAAAACATGAGGCAAAATAGGAAGGCAGTGCCTTACCTGCTTCTCCGTTTTCGAGGCGGTTTCTCCACTGTGCCAGTCAGTCTACAGACCAAACAAATGAGACAGTAACTAAAAGTAACATACAAGAAAACATCTCCCTGCGCTACCGTGCCAGTCAAGAACTACATGGACCACCCTCTAGGACCACAGGCTCGCTATCCCAGACCTGACCTTACAAATGTCTTATGCCCTGTTTCCCCTATTTACCAAAACCAAGCACTCCTGGGACTTACTGTTCCCCCAATTCCCCCTGAGCTCAAACCCTCTTGGTCCCTCACCCCATCCTCAGCCCGCTGTTCGTCACAGCCCAGCTCCCCAAAATCACCCACCTCCACCTACTCATTGTCTGCCTCGTCACCCCCGCAAGCCTCCCCAGCCTCCCCTTTCCAGTGACCACCCGCTCCCGATTGTGCACGACCCTCCGCGCCCCGCTTTCTCCGGGCCCGGTGACCCCCGCATTCCGTGGCCCCTCCGGGGGCACGCGTGCCTTGCCCCTCCCGGCCCAGCGCCCCCAGCCTCACCCCTCGGGGCCGCTTCCCTCACACGCCCCTCTCACCTGGCCTCAAGGATGCAATCGCGCCCAGCCCGCGCCGCCGCCTCCAGGCGCCCCCGGGGTCCCCCCAGTCTGCACCCCCCGCCCCTCCGGTCTCTGCGCCCCGAATGCTCCGCGGCCCCGAGCCGCTGCCCCTGGGCCCGCTCTCCCTGGCCCCCGCCCCATCCCCAACCCCGGCCTCCACCCAGCCCCCGCCCCACCTGGGGGCCAGGCGACTCCGCGGCTGCTGGGGCTGCCGGGCTCCTCTGACCATCCGGCTCCTGCTCCGCCGCGGGAGCTGCTCCGGCGGCCGCAGGGCTCGCTCGGGAAGCTGAGGCGGCGGAGGCTGGAGTAGGCGGAGAGGCGGGAGGAGGTCCTCGCGCCTCTGCAAGGCTTGCCGCGGGGCCCGCCTCCTCCGCGCCTCTCCTTGGCTTCTATTGGCTAGAGCCGTAATGTGGACGGAAACCTGGTAGTTGATTGGACTCTCGGGCCGTCACATCCCGCGCTGCCCACCCAGAGGTTTGGTTGAGACTGCAGGTGGCGGCGGAGGTGCCTTACAGATTGCTAGCAGGGCCCGAGGAGACCCGGGCGCCACCATCCGCCGGAAAGTAGGAACTGCACCCCCGGCACCAGACACCTGCCCCAGGTTTTCCTGGCTGTACGTCCTGCATCCCACACACCTGCTGGCGCCCCCATACCTCTGCACCGCTCCAGGACCGAAAGCAAGCCTGAAATATCCCAATTTCCTCTAGCAAGTGCGACAGTGAAGCAACTCTCACAAACGTGCTTCCTTTAAGCCACCTCGAATGCGATCCCTGTCCCTACATCTTGCTGAAATTGTCTCACAGCTCACAGCTACCCCTTAAATAGGATCCAGCCAGAAACTGTAAGAATCTACCAAAATAATGCATGGTTTGGCTGCTCAAACCTCTGCAGAAAAGATCACTAGCTTCGGTGCCGGCTTTTAAGAAAGAGATTTTTTTTTTTATTACAATGAAAGAAAAATCAACACTGCAAACAGAACCGATGCCATACTAAAAGCAACGTGTTCCATTTTGAAAGGCCTGAACAAATTTGATCCCTGAGTGTGAGCTAACCATCCTGATTCTGTGACCATTACAAGTTCTACACCAATTAATCAATTTTAAAGTTTTACTGTATTTTTGACAGACAAGCATGCAAAACTCCCTGTCATAAGCATAATTAGCTTTCGTCTTCTGCTTTAACAAAGCCATCCTTGAAAATAAGACTCAGCTCGTTAACATATTATAAAATTCTTGAAGGTGGGAAGGCCTCTCTAAATCTCTACTCCTGTGTGCACTTGTTTGGTAAATTCTTAGCATCTGTTCAGAGTTGGGAGGAGGCATAAAACTTTCTGTTAAGCCACTTCCATTTTATTAGAACATCTTTTATGCCTCAATAATATGACAGCCTCGATTATTACATGTCAACATTGGGGTGGGGAGAATCTCTCATCGATCTCCATAAATGGCAAAAATTAGATTCGTTTTTCACAAAACCAAATGTATTTGGTGTAAAGATCTGTCTTTCCTTCAGAGATGGTCCTTCCTACATTTTTTTTTTTTTTTTTTTTTTTTTTTTTGATGGGGGTTTGCTCTTTTTTTCCAGGCTGGGGTGCAATGGGGGGATCTCGGCTCACCGCAACCTCCGCCTCCTGGGTTCAGGCAATTCTCCTGCCTCAGCCTCCTGAGCAGCTGGGACTAGAGGCATGCGCCACCATGCCCGGCTAATTTTTTGTATTTTTAGTAGAGACGGGGTTTCACCATGTTGACCAGGATGGTCTTGATCTCTTGACCTCGTGATCCACCCGCCTCAGCCTCCCAAAGTGCTGGGATTACAGGCTTGAGCCACCGCGCCCGGCCCCTTCCTACATTTTTAAGGGTAAAATGACTTTCCATTTATGAAGTAATACTGATGGTAAATTGCAGTGGGATTTGAAAAATTGCTTTGACAAGGAAAAAATTGTCAAATCTGTTGGTCCCCCAAATTAGTATTGTATGTAATCCTATAGTCACAGAACCACAAATCACCTCAATCTCAACCAAGTTTCCACCCATATTATCAAGCCAGAGAGAGGAAAGAACTCTAGATTAATTTGTGTCAGATGCAGGGGGATCATAAATTCACTAGGGAAGTAATATTGAAATACATTTATTACATTCCTTATTAAAAATCCAGGCCAGACGTGGTGGCTCACACCTGTAAACCCAGCACTTTGGGAGGCCGAGGTGGGAGGATCACCTGAGGTCGGGAATTTGAGACCAGCCTGACCAACATAGAGAAACCCCATCTCTACTAAGAATACAAAACTAGCTGAGCATCATAGCACATTCCTGTAATCCCAGCTACTAGGGAGGCTGAGGCGGAGGTTGCAATGAGCCAAGATTGCACCATTGCACTCCTGCTTGAGCAACAAGAGCCCCTCCGTCTCAAAAACAAACAAACAAAAAAATCCACTGCCTGCTTTTTAGCGTCTTCCATAATTGACCAATCCTCACTGCTATGTGGCAGATGTCAACAGAAGCTATTCATTTCTTATGCCTTCCCAAAAAGTATCGAGTCTTCATATTGTGTCCAAATGATCTCTGCTTGTTTTTACTCTGTAAGACATACAAATCCTATCATTCCAGTCCACGTTTAATTCACACTTCCTCTTTTATCTTCCCCAATTACTCAATCCTACGTCAAACATTTCCTTCTCCAAATTTATTGTACGTAAAAAATCTACACTATGTTAGCAATTATAGATTGCCTTGGATTATTCTTCCCAACTACAATGAATTTGAACAAGTGGTGTACGCGTATGAGCCCTTAAAAAAAGGCAGCTTTGGGCCAGATACTGGGTGCTTTGTATGTCCTATTTTTGATACTGAGATTAACCCTGATAGTCTCTTATTTTAGACACAGAAATTTAAGATTCAGAAAATTCAGTTTATTCAGGGTCACACAGCTACAATAACCAATACTGCTTAAAATAGAGGGCTAAAGATATACTCTGGTGTGCCCTCCAGGGATTCAAGTTCCAGCTTTCCTGTGCAACCTTAGACAAGTCACCTATCCTTTCTAAGCCTATTTCCTCATCTGGGGGGAAAAAGAAGAAAAAAGGTTCTACAGAAAGATGAACAAAATTTCTTTTTTTTTAAGTTTGAGCTGGGCATAGTGGCTTATGCTTGTAATCCCAGTGCTCTAAGAGACCAAGATGAGAGATTTCTTCAGCCCAGGACTTCAAGACTAGCCTGGGCAACATAGGAAGACCCCATCTCTACTAAGAAAAAATAAAAACTAAAAATAATAAAGGTAATATAGTCATAGGCCCATAGCAAGGGCATCACAAAATAGAGAATGCAACAATTTAGCTACATATGCTGAATACAGGTTAGCTGCTATTACTGCATGGCAGAGCTGGATTTTCACCTAGATCTGATCCCAAAGCCTGTGCTATTCCATAATGCCTCCATGAGGACTTTTTATTTTTTTGAGACGGAGTCTCTGTCACCAGGCTGGAGCACAGTGATTCAATCTTAGCTCACTGTAACCTCCACCTCCCGGGTTCAAGTGATTCTCCTGCCTCAGCCTCCTGAGTAGCTGGAACTACAGGCACATGCCACCATAGCCAGCTAATTTTTCTATTTCTAGTAGAGACGGGGTTTCACCACGTTGGCCAGCACAGTCTTGATCTCTTGACCTTGTGATCTGCCTGCCTTGGCCTCCCAGTGTTGGGATTACAGGTGTGAACCACTGTGCCCGGCCCATGCAGTCTTTTATAACCCACCATTTAAATACAAAAGCAAAGTGCTGCTGAGCATAGTGGGTGCCTCGGGATTGAGTGGAATATACTTAACGTATTTTTGTTGACAACACAAAAGAAATCTATAAATGTCATGCATTTTTGAATTAAGAAAACATTTGAATGATCTGAGCCAGCATAAGCCTACTCTCATGAGGGTAAGAAAGGCACAAATTCACCAATAGATTGACAGGGAAATAGAAAACTAACAGGAGGGGAATACAGAACCAACCTTCCCCAAGCATCTAGTGTGTCTGGCATCATGCTAGGGGACTTTCCAAATGTTTCTTTTTGGTGGTTTACTACTGCGTATTTCATCAGCATTACTGCACACTGTAAATACACATTTGAAAGAGTTGTGATGATCTCATGAAGCATAGTTCTGGGCACTGGATCGAGGTTGTAACAATAAACATTGCCTTTAAAGAACTGGAACACTTAGCAAAGTCAAATGCAAAACAAAAGTTTCACTGTTGTTTACCAGTCAAGCAACCACATGGAGGAATAAGCATTTTTTTAATTTCTTATATAAAATGCTAACTTCTCATCAGGACATACTACAGACTATGCATTAAATTTTTTGACAAACCTCCTAGAATCTTTTTATTAATTTACACTGAGGGAATAGAGCACCTTTCATCCAAAGAACTGAAGGTGCTTTACAAAGGTTAGCATTTAAAAAACAATTACATTTTAAAAATCTGTATTCTTGCTGTTAAATCTCTTCGACTCCAGATACATAATTTCCTGGAAACTGATAGAAACCGATTCTATTTCTGACAATGAAAGAGGCTCAGAAAGAGTCCTGATTTGCTTTCACAATACAGGCATTTTGCAAAACCTGGTGCTGGGCTTACAAAGCAAACACACACAAATCTTAATGCAATGAACAATATTTCAAACCTTATTTCCAAAGCAAAACCTAGGGCTTAAGACGTCAAAATCTTCCAACAGTTCTAGACATCCAGACAGAACAGGAGCTGATGCAGGTTGCACATGAGATGTACTGCTGATCCGGGCATTTTAGGGTCACATCCAAATGAACATAAAGTAGTGAAACTTTTTGGGGTAACACATTAACTTATAAAAAGCTGGCCAAAAGCATATCGGCCATATGAGGAAAGGGAGTAAATGGCAATTCAAAGTAGACAGTTCTCACTAGAGCCTAGGGCACTTTATTAGAAACCAAGTATATCATAGGCAAATAAAAATAGTTCTTGCCCCCATTGATACAACATAAGGGATTTTACATTCAGCCTAGATACAGGGAGTAACAAATCCTCCTGCCCGTAAATCTATGACTTGCAAGTATCTTCCACCACATGATTACTCTATATAGTACATAGCCCTTATTTATTAGAGGCATCCAAAATATTCCTTGTAGGCTCACAAAGTCCAATACATTCGCTCTCTCTTCCCTTTACACGTCTAATAGTAAAAACTATTTTTTCCATGCAAAAAGCCATTATTAAGTTGAAGAGAAATCAGACAAAACAGAGATGGCAGTTAAGGAATGGAGAGAATATTATTGGCACGTGCCCAACTAGTGACAAACAAATGTAGTACACA